TCACTCCGCCAATCAGCGTTAAGCAATGACGAGCATTCGCGATCCATTCGCGGCCATTCGCTGTCTATCACGCCGGTAGATGCGGAGCTCTCTCTTACTCGTTTGGACCGAATGCCTTCGATTCTAATTGGTCGGGAGTGCTGTTTCGAGGTCCCTACAGTAGCAGCTGTTTCGCGAAGTCAGCAAAATGGAAAGTCAGCGAAGCGCACGGAAGGTTCTGCGAAGCCCGTTCCGTGACACGTGCGGAATGCTGAAAGGTGCTTGCGCTTTCCCATCTCCGCCTCGCACTGCTTTCGCATTTCCCCCCCTTTCCTCACCCCAGCCTCAAACTCCCCATTTTTCCTCCTCCCTCCCTCCATCTTCCTCCCTCTCTCCATCTTCCCTCACCCGATGTTTCCCCGCCCAATTTTGCCCGCCAACCCCCTCACCTCTTCCGCGTCAAAACGGCTCGAGCGGAACAAGTCCGCTGAAGCGGGTATCATGGCGGATGTTCTCCGCGTCCCCGCGCGCAAAGCTTTCCCCGTGGAAGCATTCAGCGCGGATGAAGATTCCGCGGGGATTCCCACAGGCGGAACTTTGAGCTCCGCCGAAACCCTGAGCTCCGCCAGTTGCCTCTGGCACAACCCTGAGCTCCGCCAGTTGCCACCAGGGTGTGATCCCAACGGTAGTACTACCGCCCACTGCTGCTGCTGCTACACATCCCACGATTACCACTCCGATTCCTCCTCCTGATACCACAACTACTTATATCACAGCTTCTATTCTGCATATCATCTCACTCCCTCACTCGTTCTCCAGTCTAAGAACCACTCCCTCTCTGCAGAACAGCGATTCTGGTTTCCCAAAAGACTCGTTACAAGCTTTCCATCTTAGAAATATAATAATCTCAATCAAACCAAGTCTCACTTTTATCCCAGCCCGGCATCAGGGTTGACGTTCACGAAGCTGTTTGCGCGGTGGGTGGGCAAGAGGGACATGCGCATTCTCATGGTGGGGCTGGACGCGGCGGGCAAAACAACGATTCTATACAAGCTCAAGCTGGGGGAACTCGTTACTACCATCCCCACTATTGGTGAGTGAGTCTGGTAAGGGCGTGGGGGGTCTGATTAGCGTTATCTTTGTGATTAGCATGCAGTTGATTATTCCTATTTTTTCCCCTCTTCATTCGCTCACTGTGACTGTATCGCAGGCTTCAACGCAATCAATGTACACTTGATGACAATTGATCTTTTCTCCCTCTTTTCACCCATTGTGACTGTATTGCAGGCTTCAATGTGGAGACAGTGGAGTATAAGAACATCAGCTTCACTGTCTGGGACGTGGGGGGGCAGGATAAGGTAACCAGATTGGTTTGGCTCTTGTTGGTTCGACTGCTCCGCTGACTTCTATTGACTTGTCTCTTTTGACTTGTGCTGACTCTGTTGACGGGTGCGTTGACCTGTGTTGACATCAGCCTCTCTCTACCTCCCTCCCCGTTCGCCTTCTCCCCCTCCCTTTTCCCCTCTGTTTTCCTCCTTTTCCCCCAGATTCGCCCTCTGTGGAGGCATTATTTCAACAACACCCAAGGACTCATCTATGTGGTGGACAGCAATGACAGGGAGAGAGTGATGGAGGCGAGAGACGAGCTGCACCTCATGCTCAATGAGGTGAGTGAGTCAACGCAGGTCAACGCCAGTCAACGCGAGTCAACGAGGTCAATGGAGTCAACGGGCTTCAGTGCTCTTCGTGGTGGACAGCAACGACAGGGAGAGAGTGATGGAGGCGCGAGATGAGCTGCACCGCATGCTCAATGAGGTGAGTCAACGCCAGTCAACACAGGTCAACGCTGGTAAACGCCACGCTGGGCTCATGTTTGTGATGACAGGGAGAGAGTGATGGAGGCGAGAGACGAGCTGCACCTCATGCTCAATGAGGTGAGAGCAGTGATGGTCAACGCAGGTCAACGCTGGTCGATGCTGGTCAACGAGCGGGACCTTCCCAACGCGATAATTCCCCTCTTTCCGTGTTCTCTTCTCTTTCATCCCCTTCCCATCTGCAGAACGAGTTGCGTGACGCCACTCTGCTGGTGTTTGCCAACAAGCAGGACCTTCCTGCCCAACGCGAATCACCGCTGTTCACTTCGATGCCTCCTGCGCCTTCGTTCCTTTCATGATCCCCTCCCCATCTGCAGAACGAGTTGCGTGACGCCACTCTCCTGGTGTTTGCCAACAAGCAGGACCTTCCCAACGCGATTATTGCCCTCTTCCTGTGTACTCTTCTCTTTCATTTTCCCCCTCCCCTTCAACAGGACGAGCTGCGTGACGCCACTCTCCTGGTGTTTGCCAACAAGCAGGACCTTCCCAACGCGATGACCCCCTTTTCCCTGTACTCCTCCTGTTTACCTTTCGTACTCTTTTCTTTCTTTCCCCATCTACAGGACGAGCTGCGTGACGCCTCTCTCCTGGTGTTTCCAAACAAGCAGGACCTTCCCAACGCGATGACCCCCTTTTCCCTGTACTCCTCCTGTTTACCTTCGTACTCTTTTCTTTCTTTCCCCATCTACAGGACGAGCTACGTGACGCCTCTCTCCTGGTGTTTCCAAACAAGCAGGACCTTCCCAACCAATGTACAGGACGAGTTGTGTGATGCTACTCTCCTGGTGTTTGCCAACAAGCAGGACCTGCCCAACGCGATTATTGCCCTCTTCCCGTGTTCTCTTCTCCTTCATCCCCTTCCCATCTGCAGGATGAGTTGCGTGACGCGACTCTCCTCGTCTTTGCCAACAAGCAGGACCTTCCCAATGCGATGAACGCTGCTGAGATCACCGACAAGCTTGGGCTTCACTCGCTGCGCCACCGCACCTGGTATGCGTGCATGTGTGTGTGGGCGCCTTCCCTGTGCTCCTTCCTCCGCCTTCCTCCCTCGTATGCACCAACCAACCCTCACTCACTCGCTGTGCTGCTGAGATCACCGACAAGCTCGGGCTTCACTCGCTGCGCCACCGCACCTGGTGTGTGTGGGTACGTCTGTGGGTATGTGTGTGTGTGGGGGGAGGGGGGGGGGGCGGTATGTGTGTGTGTGTGTGTGTGTGTGTGTGTGTGTGTGTGTGTGTGTGGCCCTTCCTCTTACCCTCATTGCTGGTACGTGTTTTGTCATTCGTGTCTTATGTAGCAACCAACCCTCACCTCCCTTCCCCTCCCCTCACACCAGGTACATTCAGAGCACCTGCGCCACGTCGGGGGAAGGCCTCTACGAGGCGCTTGACTGGCTCTCTAACAAAATCCACACTCACCTTCGCTGCCCTTTTTCCTCCTCCCTGCCCCTTCCTCTTCCCCCCTCACCCACCAGGTACATTCAGAGCACCTGCGCCACGTCGGGGGAACGGCTGTACGACTTACTACACACCCTTGCATCTCATCTGTCTTTCTACAACCCCCTCTTTCCCCCCCTTACCCCTTTTCAGGTACATTCAGAGCACCTGTGCTACGTCAGGGGAGGGCCTCTATGAGGGTCTGGACTGGCTCTCTAACAACATATCCGCTAAAGTGCGCAAGATTCCCCTCCCCTTCTGGTGCACACCTTGACTCCCGTTGACCTTGTTGACTTTCAAGACCTTTATTGTAACTTAGTTAAATTCAGCACCTTGTCGTTTCTCGCTCAGTACCACACGACTCCCGTTGACTTTCAAGACATGGTTGATTCACCCGTTTGCCTGCTTCCTGCCCTCCTGTTTTATGCCAGGATTAAAGGGTGCTTCCGGGTGGTTTGACTTCAAATCAAACAATTGCCAGGATCACACAGTTGTTGGGGTTGCTGGGGTTGCGGACCGTGATTGTTCGCTGCAGGGATGGCTGGTTACATTACGCGTTACAACACTTACAATTGGTATATGTTGATCCTGCCAATTTTTTATAAACTTATAATTCTGCTAGCTTTCTGTGTGGGGTGCGGTGCAGTGCGGTGCATGCAATTACTGTTATTTAATCAAATCATTTAGCTTGACATTGAATTGCACTCTTGCATTAATTTCTTAGGCACTCTCCTTACTGTACTTTCCTAGCTACAGATACCGTACTGAACACACGTGTTTTCTATACGCAGAGTGGACTAATACTTGCTCCAATGCCGAAGCCCACACACACGAACGACATATCTTTCCAGCATTCACAATGTTTAGGTGGGAGGGCAAGCTGGGTGGTTCTTTCTATGAAGTCACAATCGCAATCATTTCACAAGAAGAGGTCATCAGTCAGAATTCACAAAATATACTTTCTCGACTAAAAAGTCCTCGTTCATACATTATTTGGATTAAATGGTGTACCAAAGGGAAATGCCCCAAACTAGGCATTATTCAGGAGCCTCAAGAATGCCCCCCTTTATTTGAGCCTTCACAACACATTGAAGCTTCATGTCACGTCCAGAAGGCTCGTAAGAGAGACAATCAGTGCACGCCAAGCGTGTAGAGAATGAAGGCATAGCGGAGCGCCACGTCAGCAAGGCGATCGAACCTGCAGCAAGGACAGAAAAAAGCACGGACAAGGTTTGGTAGATTTTATTATTGAGCATTTTCAAAGGTGAATACATAGCAAAAATGTAGCAGTGCAGCCATCAGTGGTTATATTTTAGGCACCTTCTAGTAATGAGCATACAGAACACGCTCATTGGACCTCCCTGACCCATTCCCTCACTCATTCACTGCCTCCATTCACTCACTCCCTCCCTCACTCCCTCACTCCCTCACTCCCTCCCTCACTCCCTCATCGCCCCAATTCAATCACTCACCTCCCTGTCTTGCTGAAGTGTCCCGTGTCCATCTCACACCGGAGCAACACCACCTAATCATTGCTTGTATTGGCGTCTATGCACTCACCCACTGACTCCCGCACTCACTCACTCCCTCCCTCACCTCCCTGTCTTGCTGAAGTGTCCCGCGTCCATCTCACACCGAAGCAGCACCACCGAATCATTGCTTGTGTTGGCATCTCTCAATCGTGCCACCCACTTGGCTGGCTCCCAGTAGTTCACTCTCTGGTCTGAAATGCGTAGACGAGAGGGAGGGGGAGAGCAAGAGACAGCACATGAGAAGTCAGCACCACCGAATCACTGCTTGTGTTGGCATCTCTTAATCGTGCCACCCACTTGGCCGGCTCCCAGTAGTTCACTCTCTGGTCTGCGATGGAAGAGAGGGAGGGAGGGAGGAAGGAACGGGATGATGTGAGAAGAGCGCGAGAGCACCGCAGCAGCACCACCGAGTCACTGCTGGTGTTGGCGTGTCTCAGCCTCGCCACCCACTTGGCCGGCTCCCAGTAGTTCACTCTCTGGTCTGCGATGGAAGAGAGGGAGGGAGGGAGGTAGGAACGGGATGATGTGAGAAGAGCGCGAGAGCACCGCAGCAGCACCACCGAGTCACTGCTGGTGTTGGCGTGTCTCAGCCTCGCCACCCACTTGGCCGGCTCCCAGTAGTTCACTCTCTGGTCTGTAAGTGTTGGCAGACAATAAGGGAAGGAGGAGGGCGAGGAAAGAAGTGCGAGAGGGCACATGCAGAATTTCAGGTCTGTTGGCTTTTGAGGCGTCCCACACCAAAGCAGCACCACCGAATCACTGCTGGTGTTGGCGTCTCTTAACCGTGCCACCCACTTGGCTGGCTCCCAATAGTTCACTCTCTGATCTGCAAGTGGGAGAGAATGGTGGAAGAGGGAGGGTGGAGGGAGGAGGGAGGAGGGAGAGGAGGCGAACAACGAAGGGAGAGGGTTAACCAGTGTAACTAAACAGGGAGGGCGGGCGGAGGGCCAGAGGAGGGGAGGGATGCGGGCGAGGGATGAAGTGTGAGAGAGCACCGGCAGGATTTCAGCTACTTTTGAGGCGCCTCAAAAGGAGTTCAGCTACTGTTGGCGTTTGAGGCATCTCACACCGAAGCAGCAGCACCGCCGAGTCACTGCTCGTACTGGCATCTCGCAGCCTCGCGAACCCACTTGGCTGACGTCGTGATAAAAGTGTTGTTTTGAGACGTCTCAAAACGAAGCAGCACCGCCGCCGAGTCACTGCTCGTACTGGCGTCTCGCAGCCTCGCGAACCCACTTGGCTGGCGCCTTCTGAGACAGAATGCGTTCAGAAAAGTTTAGTACTCTTTTTGAGGCGCCTCAAAAATAGGCTGGCGCCTTCTGAGACTGAATGCGTTCAGAAAAGTTTAGTGCTCTTCTCACACCGCAACGAATGACCCAAACGTATGAGAAGAGTGCAAAACTTGACCCCAAGTTCTATTTCTTTTTCATAGAGGGTTTGGCTTACCATGGAGCGAAGCAGTGGCCAGTATGTTGGGATAAGCCTGGGGCTTCACCTGAAAGCAGGAGAAGAAGCAGGAGCAGGAGAAGGTGGAGGAGGAGGGGGAGGGGAGCAGCAGAGACAGCAAAGGGTCAGCAGATTGGGGAAGGGAGACAGAGCATCTTAGGGAAAAAGGGCATCTTCGAGACAAAGGAAAGTATTGGACTGGAAAAGAACAGAGAAACGAAAGGGGAGTGCATAGCATGTATGAAAAAGAGACCACCTGGGAAAGTGGAATGCAGGGGGGATTTTAATGCCGAAAGAAATTCATACATGAAAGGGAGGGAGGGAGGGAGGGATGGGGTGGGGTGCGGTGGGAGGGGGTCACTCACATTGTCGACAGGAGAATAGGACTTGATGCAGTGATAGTACTGCTCCTCCTGTGGGTTGCCCCACTCCTGCTTGCCACACACACACAACCTCATACGACCGCACAAGACCGGACATGACCACACACAGCCACGCAGAGCCGCACACAAGACAAGCACGCAAGTCACATTAAGTAAACTCACAAAACAACGATCTCCAACAGCTGACCCACCTCCCAGGGGCCTATACAGCAAGACACTGGCCCGCTCACCCATCCACCCACCCGCCCGCCCGCCCACCTGCCCACTAGCCTATCCACCTTCCACAGCCCACCCATCTCCCACAGGCGACCGACCTCCCACTCAGTGCTGCTAAACCCACCTCCCACTCAGTGCTGCTAAACCCATCTCCCACTCAGTGCTGCTAAACCCACCTCCCACTCAGTGCTGCTAAACCCACCTCCCACTCAGTGCTGCTAAACCCACCTCCCACTCAGTGCTGCTAAACCCACCTCCCACTCAGTGCTGCTAAACCCACCTCCCACTCAGTGCTGCTAAACCCACCTCCCACTCAGTGCTGCTAAACCCACCTCCCACTCAGTGCTGCTAAACCCACCTCCCACTCAGTGCTGCTAAACCCACCTCCCACTCAGTGCTGCTAAACCCACCTCCCACTCAGTGCTGCTAAACCCACCTCCCACTCAGTGCTGCTAAAACCACCTCCCACTCAGTGCTGCTAAACCCACCTCCCACTCAGTGCTGCTAAACCCACCTCCCACTCAGTGCTGCTAAACCCACCTCCCACTCAGTGCTGCTAAACCCACCTCCCACTCAGTGCTGCTAAACCCACCTCCCACTCAGTGCTGCTAAACCCACCTCCCACTCAGTGCTGCTAAACCCACCTCCCACTCAGTGCTGCTAAACCCACCTTCCACTCAGTGCTGCTAAACCCACCTCCTACTCAGTGCTGCTAAACCCACCTCCCACTCAGTGCTGCTAAACCCACCTCCCACTCAGTGCTGCTAAACCCACCTCCCACTCAGTGCTGCTAAACCCACCTCCCACTCAGTGCTGCTAAACCCACCTCCCACTCAGTGCTGCTAAACCCACCTCCCACTCAGTGCTGCTAAACCCACCTCCCACTCTGTGATGGTGAGGTGTAGAGAGGCGTCTAGCATGGTGGAGAGCACATCAACGAACGGCACGCCAGCCACGGCTGATCGAAACAGATCCGGCCGTTCGTTCACGGCTGCCCCCACAGGTATGCCCCCTGCTGACCGGCCTTCCAGGGCCAATCGGTCTGGAGTGGTGAGACTGGGTAGAGAGAGTTATGGAGAGGGAGAGGGCAGGGATGGGCATATGGACGGTGAGATGAGAGAGAGGAGAACAAAGGAAGATCCGGGCCGTTCGTTTTCTGCTGCTCCCACGAGAATGATCCCTGCTGACCTGCCTTCCAGGGCCAATCGGTCTAGAGCTAAGCTGGAAAATACGCGTATCGCGTTTTATACGAAAGCGTCTATTCGCAAGCGTATATACGCGATACGCTGCACGGTAGGGGTTCCGGTACGCACAGAATTTGCAGGCCCGGGCAGGTTAGAGTTTTTCAGGGCAAGAAAAATGTCGAGGTGGGGATGGGCGAGGCGCAAAGCAGCAACAACCCCCATTCCGCACCCCCCTTTCTACCTGACGTCGTTAAGACTCAGGTCGACATAATTTAGAATTAGGTCGAGCTTAAG